TATACGATGACGATGAACGAATTGCTCCAAATGCTGCAACGAATTTGCTTGAACGTGGTTATAACAATTCTTTTTTACTTACTGAAGGTAAAATTTTCTAAGAAATGATCATTTGAATTTCGATAAGATTGACAGTTTTTGTGATATTAGTTAAACAATTTCAAAATGTGTGTGTGTTTTTTTTGTCTTTTCAACAGTATAAAAGATAATAAGTAAATGGTATTCATTGAAATAAGAAGTGTTGATAGGAGCGTTTTTTTGTTTCCTCAACTGAAATGTAAAACGCACTTTTCAATTGACTCTTAGATTTAATATTTCATAGTAAGTTTTAATAAGAAAAAAAAAACATTTGTCTATCCTATTACTGACTTCACTCCGTGTGATGATATGTCTTTATTATCATTAATCTTTAATATTTAATCAATTACTGAAAAATATAAAGAATATCATTTGAATTTTTCTATTTCAATTAACGAATCATAGTTTTGTGACTAGTTTTTTTTTCAAAATTTTCGTTGATTTATTTTTAATTTTAAACTTACAGTACTATCATATTCTTATACGGCTATTGGAAATTCAACTAATAAAAAAGATACACAGACAAATGCAGCAATTGATTTTTGTCAATATCTCGTCTGTTAAATAATCTTTTCATTTTCAATAAAAAAAAGACAAATTATTAATTTAGGTTCGAGATGGGAAAATGCTCGAAAATGAACTTGAACCATATTTAGTAAAATATTTTTTTTTTTTTATTAGTTGAATTAATAAAATTTTCTTATAGCCATCAAAAAATGCATCTGTTCTTACCACACAATCACTTGGAACTTTACCTGCTGGCGTTGTATCACCACATATGTTGCAACGTAACACTACAGCAAGTTAGTTAAATTTATATACTGTAAAAAGCAGGATTGTGACAGATGAAAGATGCTAAGAATGAGGTCTTGACCAAAGAAGATAAACTTGAAAATATTCTATTTCTAAAATAAACATGGCATTTCTGATAAAGACAATCATTATTCAATATTATCTTTAAAAAAAACTCTTGTTCGTTGATAACCTTTATATGAGTTTAATTATCATCATTGATCATTTCATAATTATTAATCTTTTTGTTTTAGATGAAGTTGGTCCACCACCTACTCTTTTACTATATCAACCAGGACCACCATCTAATTATCTTGAACATATTCGTTCTGATCGAAAAATGCTCGAAGAAGTTTGTAACAAACATTTTTCTCAAAATATCTTATAGTTTTTTTTTCTTTTTTATTGTTTAGCAAGAAGAAACTGATACAAATGCAGCAATACATGAAAATTGGACAACTGATAATGCCAAAGGTCGCCTTCATCAATATTTACAAAAGAATAATCTTTCACAAGAATATAAATATACATCAAGTGGACCAGATAATCTTCGGTTTGTTTAATATTGATATGAGAAAAAAAAAATTTTTCTATGGAAATAGTGATAAATGTCCATACTTCGATAATTGATAAAATAATCTAATAATAGAGATCAATCGATTTTACTTTATATTCAAATGAATGAACACAAAACAATTTCATAAGTCAGATTGATTGATCGAGAAGTGAAAAATGAAAAAAAAAATATAAATAAATGAAGTATGGCATTAGTCACTTTTTCTTCCATTATAGAGATTTTTCAATGATCAAACATATTCTAGAACATTTTTTGCTGAATTATCTATATATATACGAGAACGTAATCAAAGTAAGTTAAGAATTGAAATAAAAAGAAGGAATAGATTTTATTTTTGTTATAGCAATTCATGCACGAGAAAATGGATCAACAAAACAAATTGCTTCAAAAAGTTGTGCACTTGCACTTGTTCGACAACTTTATCATTTAAATATTATTGAACCATTTACTGGAGAAAAAAAGAAAATACAAATTGAAAAAGTAAATTCACCTGGTTGTTTTTTGTTTTTCTAAATCGTATTTTAAAACTATTAAAAACAAATAGAAGAATTTCTCATTTTATTAATTATTAAAAAAATCTATACAATTGAACTTTCTATTACTTTCACATATGATTTTTGATTAGAATAAAAATTTTTTGAATTTAATCTTCTTAACAAACAATTGATGTCTTGATGAAAATAAAGCAATTTCATATAGTACTAATATTTTTCATCTCAGATTATTTAAAAAATTGTGAAAGATATATCTCGAATCATCCAAATTTAACATAAACTATCCTATTGCTTATTTGAAATTTGATACGATTGATCATTATTTTCTTTATAAGAATATTTTTCGAGAATCACATTAGTCAAAATTAGGTAGACGTATTCGAAGTTTTTTTTGTGTCATTAAAAATGCACGAAAATGTCTTTGTTTTCGACAGATTTTAAACATAAAAGTCAAATAGAATTCACAACAACTATTAGTTTACACTCATCAAAAATTCTACCTTTTTTTCTGCAGTTCTTTCTGTTAGAAATATTTTCGCATTTATATCAGAAAAGTTTTTCAATTTTTTTCACCATTGAAGATATTCATACTCACAACAACTATCAACCAATGCGATGATTAGTGAAATTCATGCTCGTACTAGATTTTCGAAAAAACAAACAAATTTATTTTGTTTATCGAAGGTTATACAAATTTTCTTTTAAGTTAATTTTTTTATTTACAAGGTTAATAAAGTTTTCGTGGATTACTTCAGAAATTTGAATGAATGATTTTCAAATCAGTTGTCTGAAAAAGTCTAGATACTTTAAAAATATTTCGACTTATCATAGAAAATAATGAACTTTTTCAATAATTTCAATTTCTGAAATAGTTCTATTACATAAAATCTTCACAGAATAGTATCAAATTATGCCCAAAATCTATTGAAATTAAAGAAAGTATTCGAAAAAGAATGATATGTTAATGAGTATATGATATATCTATCTATGTGAAATTATTTTAAAAACTTTTCTATTGTATATTAATGAAATAATTCTCTATGCAGACAACACCATTTCGTGTTACGGTTAGTAATGATATTGTCAAAGAACTTGATGAAATTATTAAATTATTCAATACTCAACCAGTAATGGTATGAAAATAAATTGATTTTGAATAAAATTAAAAAAGAATTATTTTTATTAGATAAATGAACAACAAGCAAATGGTTCATTATTAAATCCTCAAATATTAGAACGTTTTCCTCCAAGTGAACGTCGTACAACATCATCTATAATTCAATAGGTACCACCAATACCAAATTAGAATCCATGGATAGCATCAAATATTGATGAGGGTCCATTAGCAACAGCTACAATGGAATCAATTAGTGAAGATTTACGTCATGCTGAACAATGTAAAATGGAAAATGAATTAAAATGTCGTCTTCAAGAACGTGAAAATTTACCTGTTTTTACTTATCGACAACAAACACTTGAACATATTAAAAAAAATAATGTTATTCTTATTCGTGGTGCAACTGGATGTGGAAAAACAACACAAGTCATTTTAATCAAAATTTTTTTAGAAGATTTTTTTTCTATAGAAATTTTTTTGTTTTTTATTTTAGATTCCTCAATATATAATTGATGATGCTATTCAACATAATCAAGGTGCTTTTTGTAATGTTGTTGTTACTCAACCACGTCGAATAAGTGCTATTTCAATTGCTGAA